GGAAGGGAAAATGGACGCCATAGATTCCGTCTTCGATCCTTTGAGGGAGTTCTCAAAGGACAGCGTTCGCCTCGTCAAGAGGTGCCACAAGCCCGACCGCAAAGGTTGTTATGCTTCCCCTTCCGATCTATTTTTTTTCCAATCTTGCGATTGCGAATCTTAGGATAATCGAAAAGATTCGTTGATTTTGGTTTTCAGAATTCACCAAGGTGGCGTTCCGTACGGCGATCGGCTTCGTGGTGATGGGATTCGTAGGGTTCTTCGTCAAGCTCATCTTCATCCCCATCAATAACATCATCGTCGGATCCGGTTAGGTGAGGTACCATTCTTCCAATAGTTGAATCCACAATTGTTTCTGAATCCTGAGATTGTTCTCTTGTAAATCTGAAACTTAAGTCATCTTCTGTTGCCTGCCTGTTGATTAATTAGGGGATGTTTGATCTAAATCTACATTTTTTTTGAATTGGAAAATCAATGAAACAAAATGGAATTCTGCTTGTTGATTCTCTAAATATACGGTTGAAAATTGGAGAAATAATCAGATCTCTATCTAGCCTATCAATTTTCATTGTCAATGAATCATTTCTTTTTCTCTTCATTCCTCAAGAATTGCAGCTGATTAAGTGTTCCTTGACAAAATGCTTCTAGTTGCACTCACACTTTAATGAATCATCCTAACAACTACTAGATCCTCTTTTTATGCGCAGATGTTGCTTGAGAAAAATGGATTGAAAACTTCGTGGTGTTGCTTAGCATTGGCAGAAGTAATCTGGCAATTTAGGTTGAGAAATAGGCATTACCTGGCCAACTGAACTGTTCTGTCGTTTATACTTTGATTTTGTAGTAAACTTCATGTTGGAAATGCTTTACCTTTTTACATTGTAGTTGAAACTCTTTGATGCATCAATTATATCCTTATTTTTTGGCACCTTGGATTTTGTTGTTTAATCTAATCTAATGGATGATCAAATAGGCTTAGTTATAGTGCGCACTGGTATCTCTTTTCATCATATACAAAATGGTTTGTGTATTTTACAAATATGTTTACAGATGTTTGTAGTTGGTTGGAGTCATACAAGTAATGACTCCTGTCTTGGGAGTTAAATGGGATATGGTATCCAATTCACTGAAACAATATGACAATTTCCCCATTTTCAAAATTCCATGCTATGGTCCTTCCCATTCCTCTGACAGGAGACAGGGACATGAGAACCGATTTATTCATTCTTGAGCATAAAATCAAGCTTGCACTTGAGAAACAGAAATGCCTAACTTGATATCAAGTGTATTTTGATTACAATGAAAAAATATTGGCTCGACAGCCTCATTTTGGTACAATGCAAAGGAAGAAAAGCAAATGGTCTGTTTTCAAAATTAGCAAATTGTACTTTCATCTGTGGCATGAGCTGCTGAAGCAAGTACTAATTCTGGTTGAGCAACAATGCCTTCCTGTTTTGCCTTCCTACGTTCTCTACGCATCCTGAAGTACTCTCTCTTCCTTGCCCTATAGCTGTTGGGGTTCTCAGGCTGTACCTCTCTTGGATAAACACTTACCTGTAAATCACACCAAAATATAATCTGTCAGTTTATGGCATCTACAGTTGAACCTTTAAAGCATTAACTTGTCTTCAAGAAATATAAAAATCAACCTTCTTCTTGTCAGGTCCAAACTTTTCAAATTTCACGAGACCATCAATCAAGGAAAAGATGGTATAGTCCTTCCCAAGCCCCACATTTTTCCCTGGATGGAACTTGCAAAGAAGAAAAAAGGGACAAAGAAATCATTGAGTGCCGGAGACAAAGGTATAATGAATCGTTATTTACACATCATAGAACCAATCAAAGCAACACAAAAACTACTAAACTGGTTATGCAGGATAAAGTAACGAACGCAGTGAACAATAGTCAGGCAAGTTGGGCAAGAATCTGATATTCCTTCCCTTTTTCCTTCCAAGGACCATAGTTCTTGTATGTAAGAAAAGAACTTCAGCAGCAATGAACCAATTAGTGAAGACTTCAAGACCAAACCTAAACTTTTGGGCATTTTCACTCCTTCAATCACAATAAAACCTCTTTTGTCAAGCAATTTAATCCAATCATATGATGACATTATCCTTTAACACCAAGTCTTCATAGCTATGTTTTCTTTTCTACTTGAAAATAGAAGCGCTTCATTGTTGAGTACCAGACATTTGATTCTGGTTTCTCAGCAGCTGTTGTTTGGTATGGAATGTGAGAATTTCATGGTCACATGTAATTTACCTATACACAGGACTTCAAAATTAACTTGCACACAAATATCTGCTATAAACCAACAATACCTGAAGATTACCTTGGTTCTCCAGTCTCCAGTAGAAATTTTGTTCAATTTAACATTCATATGCCATGTAATACTGGTATAGAATTCAGGAGAAATTGAATTTTGTAAACATTTGAACCAGCATAAATTGCTTTTTAAATACAAAAGATAAAAATTCATCCCAAAATCATCAAAATACAGCATTTGTCTAATTCAATCTAATTTCCTTTTCAATATATGATACCACCAAAAACAGCGATTAATTCAAGAAATTGAAGCTTACCTTGGTTCCTCGCTGCCTTACAATGATAGCACCAGGTTTCGCCAACTGGTCACCGAAGATCTTGACGCCGAGGCGTTGGCCTCTAGAATCGCGACCGTTTTTGGTACTTCCGCTTCCCTTCTTATGCGCCGATTCAATGGTCAATGGGAATGGCGACTTGTGCGGAAACGAAACGCTAATCGTTCTGGAACGCACGATGATGGTTCTGCCATCACCTTTGAAGAAGGATGAGGATGAGCTTGATGACACAGAAAGGCCCCCGAAAGCACCCACCAGATTGAAGCTCAAAGTAGTACCCACCATTCTGAACCTTAAATCATAAATAATAATTGAAAGTTAGTTCATGCAATTTTTTTCTTTAATTTTAAATAAATTTGGAGAATTTTTGTACAAGGGTTTTAACCTGCTATCGCAGAGTATTTTTTTGGCTAAGCTATAGGAATGGGAGTGAGTGTGCCAAGAAAGAAGAAGAGCGGTGAGCATGAGAGAGGCCTTATCTTTTGCGCGATAGAAATGCGTGGCGGCCAAATGAGATGCCACGTCATCA